GAGCAATTGGGCGCGATCCCACCGCAACATCTGGGAAGCGTTGAGCGCCCGTCCCTGATCTGGCCCTTTTGATGATAACCCGCAGCAAAAAAGAACCACCTACTGAGGTGGTTCTTTCCGAAAGGCCGCATCAAAGCCGGCCGTGGGATCGCCGGCACGTTCTTCTGCCGGTGCATCCCCGGCTCCTGGCCAAACTGTGCATGCTCAGACATGCGCAGTTCGGCAGCCTCCCATGGCTTCCTCCCCGGTCTCCCTGGCATCTGATCGTGCCGGGGAGCAATTGCACGGCGGCTAACGGGATCTGTATGATCCCGCCGCCGCGTGCCTATTTTGGTGCGGCTTTTAAAAGCCGCACTTTGCCCGTCCTTTTCCCCCCTCGTGTGGCAGGGACCAGAGTAGATTTTTTTGCTCATAAGACTTCACAGCTTAGAGGGAGCATTGCTAACAGGGTGTCAACATCCAGGTGCGCCTTTCCTAATGTCCAGGAATTTGGCACCCACGAGTTGGCAAACCTACAGCAACCTTGGCTGAGAATGATCTCAGGCTTCCTCCCTTCCAAGATCTCAAAGCTTATCCCCCAATGACTTACTCCAAAGTAAACCTTCCCGGGATCTGGCTGTGCGGCTTTCCCCAGCTGTTGATTATCTGAAGCCCTTCGTCCTCTTCTGCCATTCAAATCAAACCTCTCCCCACCCCCGAAAAGAGCTTTTCCTCTTTTCCGACCCCTCCCCCCAACTCCTTGCTTGGTCTCCCTAGCAAACAAACTCTGGGAGTTTAACCCTTGCAGTGCTGCAGAGGAAGGAAAAATGTTTCCCGTCTTCTCCAGGAGGGAGCTTCAGCAAGGCATGAAGACCCTATGCAACCCAATGGGGGTACTCAGGAGTAACTGCACGGGGCCTCGCTCCCAGAATCTCTCCAGTGCTGTTCAGCCACCTCAGAAAAAGGATTCCTGCCACCTTCTCCTGTATTGCAGATCACAAGGCAGCATCACAAATCCATACTTGTGTCTCCTTAACAGTCTTACAAAACAGAAAAAGAGGCTCAGAGCTGGCCCCGGAAGATGGAGAGTTGGAGGAGAAGGGCCCCGATGCCAGCAGCACTTTTAAAGACCCGCATACATTCAGACAGTGCAAGCTTTCCTGGGCAAGCTACAAGCACGCTTCCTACCTTGCTTTTTCTGTGCGTGCCTGCGCACGGGAAAAGCACGGAAGCCAGTCTCCACTTGCAGCCTGCTCCAGCTCCTCTTCAGGCTGAACTGAGTGCTGCTGGGAGTTGGGGGTGGAGTTTAGCTTCCAGAAGGAAGCAAGCCCCCACTGCCCTGACTTGTTCCCTCCCACCCAATCCAGCCGAACAGTCACAGAAAGCGGAAGGGGGGGGGAGAACCCTCCACTTTCAAAATGGGTTGGTGGTGGGGATGGGGGGTAGCAAGGCCCAGCGGGGCTCAATACGTTTGGGAGGGATGCAAGCTCCTCAGCCCCCGCGAAGATTACGCCAGTGCTCGTATCCAAAGGCATCTTTGAGTAGTCAATATACCGTGTGGGCATTATGGCAAGAAGAGCTCTCATTACGGTGGCCTTTCTTGGTACCATGTGCCCTGCTTTTGGGGATACAAGCTACTGCACTGGATTTTTATTTATTAAAATATTTATACCTCACATTTCCCTTGTGACTTGAGGCAGTTTACAGTTTCAAGGTTGGAAACATACAAAATACAATAAAACCCTATTAATCTGCCTCCCCAATAAAATGCCTGCAGCTTAAAGTCAATTAAAGGCCCTTGGAAGTAAAACAGCCTTACAGCACCTCTTAAAAACTTCTAAAGGTAGTGCTTCCAGCACAGTCTCTGGGAGCCCATTCCACAAGATGGGAGCTACTAGAGAGACAGAACAGGCCCTAGTTAGTATGTGTATTACATAGGCAGTTTCAGATGGTTAAAGGCCATAATAACTGCTTCGTTCCTCTTGAGCTCATTCCTCTGTGTGCAGCGTGTGTTGGACTCCTCGGGAGAACATTAGCGTATTGTTGGGGGCATCTATCAATCAAGTAGCATTTGGGTTGGGTGTGCCATATGAGAGGAATGGGAGATTTGACAGACTTTATTGAGGCATAGAAAGCAGAACATTGGCAAATGAATCTGAAAGGAGGGAAATCTATCTGAAAGCAAATGAACGCTCTTAATAATTAGCTGGGATAGAATGTCTAGAACTCACTGTAGCAAGGAGATAACATTTCAGTTTACTTATGGGGATGCAAGCAGGCCTGAAGAAAGATGCCCTGCCCCTTTGGTGGTAGAGGAAAGTGCCATCTAGTCACAGCTGATTTTTAGTGACCCCTCATGGAGTTTTCAAGGTGAGAGACGTAAAGAGGTGATTTGCCATTGCCTGCCTCTGTGTAGCAATACTAGATTCCCTGGCTGGTCTTCCGTCTGAGTACTAACTAGGGCTGACCCTGGCGCCGGTCACACGGGAGGCTTTGATCCGCGAGAGGGACGGATCAGGGGCGCAGCAAGCGGGCGCGATCACTCCACAACATCTGGGAAATGGCGCACACCTGTCCCCGATCCGTCTCTTCTGTCAAAAGACACGTTTTTCATGGACATAAGTAACCCCTGGTAAATAATAGCCTATTAAGCCTGTATTAAAGTGACAGGGCTCTTTTTTTCAAGCAGTTGCCAACCGAGTTAATATGAACATCTGTTGGATTTTATGAATTTTCTTATAACCTATTATTCTAATTATAGACATAAAATTGCATATTAAAAAGAAAAACCACCTGAAATTGAGGGGAAATGACAGGTTAAAAGTTTCAACGAGCACCACTGAAAAATATTTCTCTAAACAGACAAACTGGATATTGTGAGAAGGTTAGTTCCAGTGCTAACCGTCCCTCTAAGAAACCCAGAAGTGAAA